TGTCTTCTCCATCAATTTTTTTTTTGATCGGCAAAATTCAGTTGTTAGCTATTATATTAGCACCTATAAAAGTTAGCTAATTCAACTCATTCTTAGAGAAAATTGAACCTATGACCTCTCTTTTAGACTAAGCCCTTAGAAGAATCATGGTGGCCAACTAGGCTAGGCATAGTTGGTTCATTATCTTCTCCCTCGTAACAAAATAAAGGAAAATAAAGTACCCAGAAAACATGATGGAAAGTACAATCATGGATTGATATATAGTAATTTCTATTTGCCCCCCACATTAGTACTAGTGCTAAATGGCATAAGCATTATAACTACAATTGGGTTATATTTGAATTTTGAAGAACATAAATTAGTAGCCAATACTTGGGGAATCACAACTAGACAAACCAACTTAAAAGAGGGCATTTACAAATTATCTCTATACACCATCAACTGGTACTAGTCATTATTTACTTCCCACAATGCAAAAAATTAATCTTCATTGTCAAGCATCCATGGAAAGCTCAAATTTATATGGATTGCAACCAAAATTTGAGGAGAAACCTTTTCCAATGTCAAATATGATTGATTTTTCACGAAAGCTTACATGCTGATATATATATAGTATCTACATATATATCACTTTGGCATTGAGAGCACTAGGCATAAATCACTTTGACATCTATATATATATATATATATTATCATCTTTCTCAAGAAGAGACTGATTGTTGTTTGGTATTGGAATGATATTTTTCCAATGCAGCTTTTGAGATACACTTAAAGAGGAATATAAGGAGGGATAGAATAGAATCTTCTTATACCATAAAAAATAAGAAGATTAAAATCATCTAGTGAAATGTATAATTTGGACAGCTAAAAATGGAGTCTATTTAACCACATGAACAATGGAGAATATCCATTGAATTTAACTGGTATGGAAACACAATAAACTTATTTTTAATTTAATCTTAAAATACGATGGTCGAACGTATAAAAGATTTCCAAGCATAAGCTAAGAAAATTAACACGCTTTCTAAGCGATTAACTTTAATGTAGATTGCTTTTCAATGTATATTTTTGACATTACTGATTTAATTTGGATTTTGTGGCAGGCATAAATGTATAAACAAATCCCTAACATTATTGATTCTCTTCACATTCATATAATATAACATAATCAATTTTACATAGATCAGATGATCATAAGACAATTCTCATTCTAATCAAACATCATTCCATGAAAAGCATGATTGTTTCCAAATTGCGTCCATGTTCACAGAAATGATATTCTGTAAGTTTTAGGAAAGTGAAATCGAGACATATTTTCTAGATAAATTCATTTTAATTGTCTTCTTAATAAGCATAGAGTCCAGTGTGTAAGAGAAATGATATGGTATATAACTTTTAGGAAAGTGAAAATCGAGATGTGTTTTCGAAATAAGACCATTTTAATAATTGCCTCAATGGAATGGCTACCGAAAGCTTAATAGCTTTTGCATTTTATAATACAAAATTTTCATAACCGATTGAGCAGGGACTTTTTCTCACCATGTCACAGTTTTCATGATATTATAAATGGAAATGCTTCAATCACATTTTTACCTCTTCTGGTTTTTTTTTCTTTTTTACCATGTGAAATTGCCATTTTATTTTTTTATTTTGGGATAAATAAGTAATTTTATAACTAAAGAGGAAGATCTACAGTGAAATTCAACACACATCTTTGTAAGGAGCAAAAAAATAAACAAAACTAACCTACTCCCACCAAAGGACACAAAACTAAGCCTACAAGAGGCATAAAACAACTATCACAACAATGAAAATTCTCAAAATTTCCTTCTCGCACTTTTCAGGGTATGAAATTTTTCTTTGAGTTTTCTTCTATTTTCTTCCTTAGAAGTCTCCACATTACTAGGGTCTCTTGGAGATGAACTCTCTCTTCGATTTAGAATATTCGCTTGATACAACAACTCTAGACTTGATTCGCCATTCCCAAACTCTCTCATTTCACAAGATTTAAGAACTTCAAAGGCATTAGATATAATGGGGCCAAAAAAGGTGTCCCTCTCTTCATTTATCTTTGTTGTTGAAGCTTGCACACCATCTCTCCCCTTTTTCTTCTTCACCACTTCCCAATTAGTTAGAATTTGTGTTTTAGTCTCCTTAATTCTCCACTCTTATTTGAAAGATGGAGGATTCAATGTCTTTGGCTTTTATGGGCACATATTAGTGGTATGGCCAAATGTCTTATAAACATCACACCTTTGGGGCTTCCATGAAATCTCAACTCCAATCTCGTAAGGGTCATCATAACCAAAATTTATTTTGAAAGACTTTGGGATCTCTTTATTTGCTAACACTTCAATACATATTCATGCAAACGTAAGTCTGCTTCTGTTGAAAGTAGACTCATCTAAATAAAGAGGAGTTTCAATGATGCCAGCAAATAGTCCAAAGCTCAAAGGAACATTACCTCTTTTTAGTTTTTATACACTACAGATTTTTATACCTATCCCATTATTACGTTCTTTATTAGTCTCTATCAATATTTACATATTTTTTTCCCCCAAAAAAAAAAAGAAAAAAAAAGAAAAAGAAAATCATTCAATATGGTGATGCTGTTTTATCACAAAAAGAATCATATCATCCACAACCCACAAGCAGAATTTGGGGTCAATGTAAACATCACTATCAGTCAGTCACAGAACCATAATCATGGAATTATTTCAAGAATGGACTGTGACCTACTTCTTATGCTTTATTAAAGTTCATAAAAAAGATCAAAGAGAAAGAAAAAAAAAAAGAAAAAAAGAAAAGGAGGAAAATGATCATGCAAGAAGCACAAGAAAGTATATGAATGAGCATCTATTAAGAGTGTGGTGTCTTAATCAATTAAAGATAGAAGTACTTGTTATGGATCAAAAAATTTCAAAACTAAGGAAAGCTTCTTAATCTTTCTTTTTCTTTCACTGTACCAAATCTAGAAACCTATATAAAGCCCTTTAATCTTTATCATATGTAACCCAACCCTATATCAAGTATTTATATGTCTACATATAACATGCATCACATGATACACTTGCAGTTGCAGAAGCATTAAACATTGCAGCAAAAGTAAGAGAGCCTCAATTTTATGCCAATGGTCACCTATATGCATGTCTTCACCAAGTTTTTATTTATTTATTTATTCTTTGAATTTTAATTTTTGGATTTAGAAAATAACTATTGTTAGGAATTGATATACTTAGCCAAAATTAAAGAGACACAAAACACACACAGAAATTGAATAATAATTTAAATCAAACACATGCGTATATAAAGATTTATTTAATTTATTTTAGAGCAAAATTACGTTCATGATCATTGTAAATAGTGTTCAATTCTTAGCTGAATTCAAATGACTCAATAATTATTAGCTCATATAAATTTCAAAGGAATATAGAAATTATATTCATATATATATATATATATATGTGTGTGTGTGTTGAAGGCACATAAGACGAATAAATTTTTAAATCAAATTTATTTATTATCTTTGAGCTAAATTCCATACATTGTAAGAGATGTCGCATCAAATCAAATCAAATTATTAACAAACTTAGATTATTCTACTATTATGCATAGAGAGATCTCCTGGTGACTACACTTTTTGGAGTGGTTGCCAAATGCCAATACATGGAAGAGTTGCAAAGCTGGACCGCCAATGCCCATGAACTCTTTTTTTACCCCTAATCTTTCTTTTGTTTATTTTGTTTAATGACTTTATGTATATTAAAGAATATTTTTAATGAATATTTTAAAGGTATTAACTAACAAAAATTTAAAGAGCATTGTTACATTCACTAAATTTGGACTTGTCCAAATTGTTTGAATTCGTACATATTGGTCGTTCAGCTAGTCATTTGCTACGATGCCAGTCATTTGGGTGGATGCCAATTGACACACTGGTAAACAAGGCTGATAGTCGCAGCTGACAAAGGTGACGCCGGTAGTTCGGGAGGTCATCCGGCCGGAAGCCCAACTTATGTGATTTGGACAATTTAGATGAACTCAAATTCGGTAGATCAATCATTTTTTAAATTTAAAATAGTTGTGTATTTTTATTACTGACACTCATAAAAAATCTACAATTATTTTTAAAAAATAATATAAAAACTCACATTTTAAATCTAGTGATGTATAAAATAAATTATTAATTGATAATTAAAAAATATCTAAGAGAGAGAGAGAGAGAGAGAGAGAGATGTCCTAAATATTTGAATAGACTACCACATTTTAAATTTGAAAAAAGTGAATAGACTATCACATTTTAAATTTGAAAATGGAGTCTAACTTTTGAGTTAGAGTACTATTACTTTAAATTTATCAACAAGTGCATTTATAACACTAATTAATAAAATTCATTGAAGGAAAACAATTTAAGAATTATTGGCTAACTAATTGAGTAATGATATAATTCTTTTATTAAAAATGATATATATAGCATTCTCAAATCTTATGATTTCATCGATAAAAACACATCAATGTGACATTTTTTTTTTTGCCACATCAATGTGACATACTTTCAAGAAAGTAACTTGACACATTGTATAAAATTTTCATTAATACTATGCTTATCACATTTAATTTATTATTTAATGTGTCAATTTATTATTAATATAATGAATCTCACCATACATGTTTATCTCTAATGCAAAATTGACATAAAACGGTTCAGTAAATGTGTGATTTAAAAAAAAAAAAAATGATGAGAGTAACTTTAGTTTACATTTTTTATTTAAGAATCAAATTTTAAAACCAAAAACACAAAACCTGTTATCCGGCAAGCAAACGGGTAAACGGGAAAAAGCAGCTTCGAGTTCAAAACCAAGCAGAAAGCAAATTGAATATCAGCTCTATAAAGAAATGTAAGAAGATGAAACCAACGCACAATGATAATATGCACACATTCATATGTGTATATATATATCATATATGTAGCGTAGAGCATCATAAAGCAACAACAAAAATGTCTATCGATAAGCTCATCAATCAATAATAATAATAACCAAGGAAATCAAGATTGAAGTTCCAACTTAACCAAACAGCCCCCAACATATGAAGTTCATTCATTCATGCATTCCTTTTCTTGGCCTCAATGGGTGTTAATAATTAAACTGTTACTAATAATAGTACACTAGAAAAACACTACTAAATAAATACTAACAACAATTCAATGATAATAATTAATGTCAGCCAATTGAAGGGTTTTTTAGGCTTAAAGACTCCTAGAGAGATGTGAAGAAAAACAAGAGTACATAGAAGCTGTCAGTTCTTCTACATGCATAGATTTCAATCTAATTACTGGATTAAACACAATTCTCTCAACCAACACATTTAAATGTTTTAATTCAGTGAGAGAGTTGTATTTGATTCTATAATCGGATTCTGCTTAGAATTTTCTTTTTAAGGTCTTGGTGGTGGGAAGAATTGCGTACCGGCCATGAAAGGGTATAGAGAAGGGTCAAGCATTGTGATAGCCGGATTGCTGGCTGTGGCGGTGGCTGCGGTAATGAGATTAAGTTGCTGAGCACCACCGCCGCCGGACGAGCTCTCGCCTCCACCATAATGGGTTTCGGGGCCTTGATCATAGAGAATTCCCTTGAAAACATGGCCTCCAATGTTAACAGCAGTCTGATAAGCATATTCCTCATCTGCATCATCCATGGAGCTCACTCTCACACATCTAAACACTGCTGGTGAATTCACCTCAGATGGAAGGTGACCCACTTGAACTTCTAACCCTAATTACAAAAAAATGCACAGCTTAGCTTATTAAAATTCACAGACAAAACAGCTTTGAAAAAAACTGTACACAAATCAATCACTATTAGTACTACTAACTCCATAGAAACTTTTCGTCAGTTTTACTCACTAACAGTAGTAAAGCCAAAAAGAAAAGAAAAAAGAGAGGGTGGGTCGGTGGGTGACTATGAAATGAAGGTGGACTAGACTTGTTCATTCTTTCATCATCACACGCAAACGATTTGGTCAATCAATCTCTCTCTTTCTCTTTCTCTTTCTCTCTCATTTCTATAGCAACACGGCTCGTGAGATACGGTTGTTACTTAGTTATTCAAAATTTTCAAAAAACAAAACAAAGAACACCCATCAAATCTTGGGGTGTTTTTAGTGTATTTGTTTTTCGAAATTGAGTTTGTTTGTATTGAAAACAACAATACCTGAGGAGGTGGAGGGTAAACGAGCACCTGGATTTTCTCTCAGCCTCTTGGGATTCTCTCCTCTCATCATCAGACTCAACTGTTGATTTTGTTGTTGTGGATGAGGATGTTGTGGGTGTTGTTGAAAAGCAGTGAGGTGTTGTTGTTGTTGTTGTCTCTCTCGGCGTTTGGAAGCAGGAACCCAAGTACTCTTGACGTGGGTTTCGCAAGGAAACCCTCGGCTCTTGCAACAAGTCCTACACCTCATGTGTCCACAGTCTTTCTTTGCTTGGTTCCCACAATCTTGACAGTTCATTCCCTCTCCGCCTCCTCCTCCTCGCCTCATATCACTACTACTCTATCTAAACCCTCAATCTGATCTATCTTACTCATCACAACAAAATCCTTGTCCTAGATCTCTTGTTTCTTTACTTTCTTGCTCTTAAAGAACCAAGATTTGAGATTGATCTCAATTTGACGACAAATTCCATAGCACAAGCTAAAACAACAAGTGAGCTGCGGGTACAACAAAAGATTGAGAGATCTGTGGTATGATTCTCTCTCCGGAGTTTTTTTTTTTTTTTTGATTTTGGGGGAGACAGCTTTTGGAACAGAAAGTTTTGGAATTATGTTTTAGGTCAACAAAACGACGATGGATCGTTGGTTGCTTGCTTACCTTGACTTCTTCGCCTTCAATTTTCTGTGGCTTTGTTTGTTTGATGCATTAAAGTCACGGCTCTGCAAACGCCGCCATGGATACTGCAACCTCTTCTGCAACATCAATTTAAGACAACCAAACAGTACTCCCCACCCAGTCCACTTCCAGCTCCCCTCACTCGCCACTCTCTCTCTCTCTCTAAATGACAACTCTTCTTAAGAGAGCACAAAATCTAATATCTCACCACTTCACTTCTTTCACTACAGTTGTCTTGCAGTTGGGAATAAATCTCATCACCAAAGAATTCAATCTCAGCCGTTGCATGTCTATCGAAGGGTCTACTTTATTCCACGTGTCAAAGCATCAGCTTTTGGTTATTCGTCCTTGCACCGGAAAACACGCTCTACTTTTCTTTTTCTTTATATTTTGGGGTGATGCTACATGCATTTATTAGTATCAATACTATTTATAACCTTATTATTAATCTCACTCATTATACGAATTATAAATATAAAAAATATTTTAAATTATATCACATCATTAATTGATATATTAATTAATATACTAAATAATACATATAGCATTAGTCTATTTTTTTGTCTTGTTTGTTAAAAAATAATTAATGTTATATATTTAAAGGTTATTAATGTGTGTTTTAAGACAGATTTTGGGTTGGTTTGTGAAGTGGATTGGTTTTTTAGTGTTTTGGCTTTTAGTTATTTAAGTTTGAGACTACAAAGTTTCGTTTGAAATGAATTTTTTAATTTTTGTGAGAGAAAAATATAATATGATTATGAGTTAAATGTGATATTTTGTCATGTTAAAAAAAAAACTTATGTTATTTATTTTTTGATTAATTTTAAACCCAAAATGCCAAACTCACTTCTTTCCAAACGACATTTCAATTTGGGGACTTGACTAAAAGTTAGAAGTCAATTTTTAATCTATTTATATCACATTATCACTTTATTTTTTATATGTTTTTTCAAAAAAAAATAAATTAAAAAAACCAAAAAATTAATTTTTAACTAACTTTTCAAAACAACCTTCAACTTATTTTTTTTTTTTTTTTGTTTAAATTTGAATTTGAAAGAATGTAAAGAGTCAATAGAGACCATCATGAGTCTCATTTTGATAATCTAAATTATGCATTTACTTAGTGATATATTATCTACGGAAAATATTATATAGGTCGATTTGATAATTGTAATATTATCATTTTATCATGTTTGTACAAGCTTATTTTAAAAATAAATCATCTATTTTTTTTTTTTTTTTGACAAACATAAAATAAAAGGGTTAGGGGTCCTCAAATCCAAACATAAGAAAAGTCAAACTCTTTTTGAAATAATAAAACTTTTGAGACCTACAAATTTATTTTTTTTTATACAATTTAACTCACAATACAATGGTGTGACATGTGTAGTCTACTTGATGTTTACATATGTAACTTAACCTCCTATTCTATTTATATTATAGACTTTGATTTTGTAATTTTTAATTTGCTAAGGTCAACAACACTGTGTGTGCATTTTTACATCTAAAATTGAAGGCTTTCGCATTTCTCTTAGAAATGTACATTCTTTATTGCATTTATTTTTAGGGAGAATTACATTTCAGTTATTGTCAGAAAAAAAAATTACAAAAAAGGGTAAATTATATAAATATTAATAATTATAATTATAATTTTTTTTTCATTAATATGTAATAACTTTTCAAAACACCTCGTGAATTGTAACATTCCCTTATTTTTATGTAAGATGTACAATCTCTTTAAATTTGTTAACATGGGTACACATTTATAACAAAATCTTATATTTTAAGTTTAATATAATTTTAATTAATTATATTATAATTAATGAAAATTAATTGTTCAAAATAGAATGTATAATGTTTACTAAAACATGTTAAATTTTTTAGAATTGTTATATATCACTTTAAAAAACTTTAATTAATTATATGATAATTAATTTTCCAAAGTAAAATGGATAGTGATTAATACATGTTATAGTTTTAGAGTTGTTATACATTACTTAAATATATCACTAGAATTTTTCACTTTCTATATAATTTTTCTTTGATGAGTTCTATCATTAAAAAAAATAAATAAATTAAGAAATTTGAAAAGATTATCCACAGTCTGCCTTCGTTTGGGAAGTGGGTTGACTTTTTAGTTTTTTGACTTTTTTGACTATTTTAGCCTAGGCTAAAAAGCTTAGTTTGTGAATGACTTTTTGACTTTTTGACTTTTTTGACTTTTTTTTGTGAGAGAAGAGTATAATGATTATGGATTGGATGTGATGTTTTGTTTGTTGTGGCTAAAATAACCTATTTTATTTTTTGTAACTAAAATAACTAAAAAAACTCTTGCCAAACGTTCTAATATGAAAGTGTGTCTAATAAAAACTGCACAATCTTCTAAAGCCATCTTAACATGTGCCTTAAGACTTTTAGATTAACAGGATAGTAGCAAAACAAATGCCACTAGGACATTATTTATATTGAGATTTATATAAAAAGTATATTGAAAATTATGAAAAAAATTACAATTTTTTTTAATTGAATGAAAAGCATTTTAAAATTAATGAAATATAATGTATATAAATAAATAAATTTTAAATATTTTTATTAATTATTGTTACACTTATAATATTATTATAATAAATCTTAATTTAAAATTTAGAATTTTACTTTTTGTATGTCATATGTGAACTAAATCTTTATATAAAATTTATTAATTTATATGACATTTCTCCAATGGTTAGTTTGCTAAAGATCTTCTATATATATTTTTTGGAAAAATAAGTGATACATATTCTCCATATAGTTTGAGTAGTATAAGAGGTTCAAGATAACTTCCCTTCCTAATTAAAATCCGTCAATGTTATTATTTTAGTAGCTTAGGTACTTTGTTCCACTTATTACATTATTTAAGTGATTTTCAAACTTTACAATTTATTAACTTTTCATTTACAAATCCTTTTTTTTTTAATTTATAAAATTTATATTTTTAGAATACTATTAACAAGATATTTCAAAGATTCATGAGTCATATAAAATTCTGAAAAAAAAAGGTCGTAAAATTTCACTGACCCACTAACTTGGTTTTCGAAATTTCACCAACCAGCCAAAATTTTACTGAGCAATCGAAATTACACTGACCTAGGTTAGTGAAATTTTACTAGTTCATTTATCAAAATTCCACTAACTTAGACTGACTTGTTCATCGAAATTTCATTGATCAACCAAAATTTCAATCACCTGTCTTAGGTTGGTGAAATTTTGCCAACCTTTTTTTTTTTTTGAGAATTTTGTATCCATCATAGTACTTGTTTGATAGATCTTGATGCAACAATTTCAAAAGTACAAATTTTATAAAAACAGAGATCTAGATAAAAAAAAGTTCTAGAATTTTGAACTTTTCAAATAAGTTTAAAAAGTTATAAAAATTTGTGATTATGTGTTTTGGAAGACCTAAACTAATATAAAAAATTGTATTGTGCTTATCATTCTAAAAAAATTATTAGGGATTTTAAACTAAAAGCCCTTATTTTTCTTTTCTTTTCAAATTTATTCACAGTTAAATCATGTACACGAACCACCTAATAATTTCTCTTGATGGTTAGGGTTTTTTTTTTTTTTTTTGGTCTGTATTTGAAGTAGTTAGATTTGTTAGTTTATTAATAAAATTAGTGTACCACTTAAAGGGTTGTCGGTGTTTTATTAGCTTGAATTCCTGACTTTTTCTCATTACATCCTAAGGTGTAGCTATATGTCAATATGCCAAAAATGCCTGGGCAATTAGGGCTTGTTTGGGAATTGATTCTTTTAATTAATTTTTGATTTTTTTTATAAAAGATATGTAAAAAAATAGAGAGAGTGCTGTAACAATTTATAGTAACTTTTTGACTAATATTTTGAAAAATAGGTTAAAAGCCAACTTATTGATTTTTTGACTTTTTTTTAAGTCATATCACTTACTTACTTTTTTGCATGTTTATTAAAAAAATCCAAAAACAAAAAAGAAATTCAAAAATCAAAAACCAATTTTTAACCTATTTCCTAAATTAGGCTTAAAAATCATGGATCCATGTACTAGGTTGTAATTTAGGAGTGGTTTGGGTATGATTTATATAGTGATTTTTTTTTTTACTTTTTATAAAAATATATATAAAAAAATAGAGAGATGATATGACAACTTGTAACAAATAAACTACTAAGCAGCTTAATTTGTTTAGGTGATTTTTTTTAGGAATATTTACTAGTAAATCATATCTCATAAACAAGTACTCCAATTAGTCTCAAGTTTTTTCTATTTATCTGTTAAGTCCTCCTGGTAGAGAGTTTTTATTTTATTTTATTTTTTATTTTTTTTTCTTGTGGTCCTATTTTTTATTTTGGCAATATTTTGGTGGACAACTATACCCTTTTATTAATGTAACATGTATGATGTGATACTTCAATGTGACAGGTATTAATGCGACATTTTAACGATGTGATACTCTAAAAAAATTTAAAACTCCTTAGTGTGCTTTTCCAAAATGTGACAACGTGGTGGTTATGATGTGACACTCCAAAACTTTTAGTTAAAAAAAAAATAACTCTATAGTATATTTTTCGCTAATATGACAATGTGATGGGTATGATGTGACATTCAAAAAAAAAAAAAAACTCTTTAGCGGACTTTTCTATAATGTGAAACGTGGCGAGTATGATGTGATACTTCAAAATAAAAAATAAAAACTCTTTAATATATTTTTCTCAAACATGACAACGTGACATGTATGATATAACACTCTAAAAAAATTAAAAACTCTTTAGAGCACTTTTCCTAAACGTGACATGTGACACTTCAACAAGTCGAGTATGATGTGACACTCTAAAAAAATTAAAAACTCTTTAGTGTACTTTTTCTAAATGTGACACTCTAACGTAACGGGTGTGATGTGACACTAAAAAACTCTTTAGTGTATTTTTTTTTTCTAAATGTGACACTCTAATGTGGCTGGCAAATGAGTTATTATATATGCAAAAAGACTAAGTGAATCACAAAAAAATGTAAAACTATATAAATTATAAATTCAAAATATGCTTCTTCTTTTTCAATTTCAAATTTCAAAATATTCTTCGGTGTATGAAATTTTCTTGTCCCTGTAATTTTGCGCTAAAGCCTCGTAATTCCTCCTTAATTCTTTGGGTAATTATTATGACCTTGACTTTGTCCTAAGATTGTGGGGTTTTTTTTAGATAATAATAATAATATCATTATTTTTATTATTTTATTAAGAAATTTGAATTTGCGGTCAACACCTTCCATAAGGAGGGACAGGACCAAAGTTAACACATTCGTGATTGTGGAAAAATTCTGGGCATCAATTCTCGTGTGAAATTTTACAA